CCAGTTGTGAAAGAGGCAATATATAGTGTCACACTCAATAATAGATAAAGGTACATTTGATACAAGTCGGGTGTCTGTGGCAGATGAGCGCCATCTCCACCCAGTTGATTCCATTGTCTTCGGCGGCGTTACACTCCCATTTTGAGGTTTGCCTTTGTCTCAGTGTTGAAGATTTTTACCCCTACCTGCTGGTATATAGCTCAGCTGGTATATAGCTCAGCTGGTAGAGCGCTCACCTAGAGTGTCGTGGGTTCGAATCCCACCCGGGGCAGCTCTTCTTTTTCCTTGGGTTGTCCTGGGTGTAGTTTCCTTGCCTTTCCCTTGCTACCCAACAACATACGGTTTGGATTTGCCTTGTGTCCAGCCCTGCGTGCAGAGTCACACTGGTGTAGTTCAGTGGGGCGGGTTTTATGGTTCCAGAACCTCCGATGAAGAATAAAGACAAAGGACACAATGAAAATAACCTCTCAATAAGGGGCACACTTTAAAGTAAAGGACTTTAAAGTTAAGGTTCCAAACATTCACTTTTCTAACCTCCAAAGAGAGGACAGCCAAATGCCTGGTCCCAATGTGTGTCCATTATTCGGAGGTTCCACTGTAGTGTCCCACTCAGGGTAAAGTTTTTTATCCTGGGCGGCACTCACCTGCCTATGATCCACACACCTTCAGCCCACACCAGGCGATGCTCTGTCGCACCTGATATCCCTCCAAAAAGGCAGAGCAGAGAGAAGGTCCTCGGTGCGACCGAGCAACCTAAACACGCTCATGTCCCAGCTGGCTGGCTCCACCCGCAGCCGCACCTACGCGCCGCAGAACGCAACCGGCATGTTACCTCTGGGGAGACTGCCGAGCAGCTACTCCCTACAGCGGTCGCACTCCGTACAGAGCTCCTGACCACACCCCTCCCAACTGTCTCTATAGGACCAAAATACAATCTAATAACCCAATAAGTCATTATACCATCCGTCATTAGTCTCTTCCACATCTGTATATAAGGTGTATAATGTATATATATATACCATTACTCTTGATTCTGTGAGGTGTATAATGTATATATATACCATTACTCTTGATTCTGTGAGGTGTATTATATTACTGTACAACATTATAATGGTTCTGTAAAGTGTAATAATAATTATAACCCATTACACATTAATCTAGAGTGTATCCAGGCAGCTTCACTACTTGCATGGACGACTACCTGTTCCTAGGTGCTCCGTCAAGCCAAGAGTGCGCTAATTACCTGCACACAGCCTTGCAGGTGTGCCAGCAGCTAGGGGTGCCTGTTGCCACACTCATAATACAGAAGGACCAACCACACGCCTAACATTTCTCGGACTTCAATCGGATTCTGTCACCATGCAGCTCAGTCTGGCTGAAGGTGAGCAAATGGGACTGTGGAGTTTCAGCTGTTCGGTTTCTTAAAACATTACCCTACGTACCAGTATGTATGTACAATGTTGCCGTGGTAATCAATCGCAATTCAGACTTGGTAAGTTCGCCTCACTCGCCAACAATATAATCTGTATTATGAAGAATAATGGGCGGCTGTTGATCATACAAATGCTATGTGTGTGGAAATGAGTTTCTGATGTGGTGTATCCCCCTCCCTCTTCCCCCTCCTCCTCCTCCTCCCCTCCTCCTCGCCTCCCCTCTCTTCCTCACACTCTCGGCCTTGGTGCTGCGTCGACGCTCCCAGTTGTCGTGGAGATCGTCGCTACGGCCGACGGGCAGCGACGAGAGGAACACAATCAGGTGAGGTGGAAGGGGAAGCTCCTTTAATCTGCGTCTTCTTGAGACCCCGAGACTTCTCCTGATGGTGATTCTACACGAGTGTTGCAGCGACCACACCCTACCTATGATTGCACACACACACACACACACACACACACAACAGAATAGCATAGGTACTGTACAATAACAGCAAAAGGAGGATTTACTGAAAGTGAATGAATACCCCTGGAAACCATTATGGGCTGAAAGAGCTTTGACTCATACCCACTTATCAATAGCTCACTTTCTACCGTTAGTAGGCCTATATATTGTTGCTTTCACATGTTGCAATTATGTAGGTTATTAATATCAGCAAATTAATTTGGAATACCCTTGGAAACCGTATAGACTGAAAGAGCTCTAAAGGCTACAAGAAACATGCAAAAATGCAATAATTATGCAGCGTGCACAAGGGCTTACGCCCAAAAATTTTTTATCATGTAGAAGGTCGTGCTGGTGCACTGCTTGCTTGCACACAGCAGGAAAAAGACAGGAGGACGAGAAGACGTAATTCGATAGGTCTCTCGGTGTGTGGCAGTATAGGGTTTACAAACAAACAGGGAGGTTAACGAGAGCCGACTCATTGGCAGTGGGTATAACCTGATTAGCCAGAATCCTTCCCACCATCAGGCCAGATGTGTATGTTGGCATACGTACCACCCGACCATAGTACACAGACAGTGGTGACTACGCCTAGGTACCATAGGTACCATAGCATAGTACACAGACAGTGGTGACTACGCCTAGGTACACCATAGCATAGTACACAGTAGTATGTACATATGTAGGTACCACAGCATAGTACACAGTGGACCCTACGTATGTATGTACATAGGTACCATAGCATAGTACACAGTGGACCCTACGTATGTATGTACATAGGTACCACAGCATAGTACACGGTGGACCCTACGTATGTATGTACATAGGTACCACAGCATAGTACACACGTGGACCCTACGTATGTATTGTACATAGGTACCACTAGCATAGTACACAGTGGACCCTACGTATGTATGTGTACATAGGTACCATAGCATAGTACACGGTGGACCCTACGTATGTATGTACATAGGTACCACAGCATAGTACACGGTGGACCCTACGTATGTATGTACATAGGTACCACAGCATAGTACACAGTGGACCCTACGTATGTATGTACATAGGTACCACAGCATAGTACACGGTGGACCCTACGTATGTATGTACATAGGTACCACAGCATAGTACACAGTGGACCCTACGTATGTATGTACATAGGTACCACAGCATAGTACACAGTGGACCCTACGTATGTATGTACATAGGTACCACAGCATAGTACACGGTGGACCCTACGTATGTATGTACATAGGTACCACAGCATAGTACACAGTGGACCCTACGTATGTATGTACATAGGTACCACAGCATAGTACACAGTGGACCCTACGTATGTATGTACATAGGTACCACAGCATAGTACACAGTGGACCCTACGTATGTATGTACATAGGTACCACAGCATAGTACACAGTGGACCCTACGTATGTATGTACATAGGTACCACAGCATAGTACACGGTGGACCCTACGTATGTATGTACATAGGTACCACAGCATAGTACACAGTGGACCCTACGTATGTATGTACATAGGTACCACAGCATAGTACACAGTGGACCCTACGTATGTATGTACATAGGTACCACAGCATAGTACACAGTGGACCCTACGTATGTATGTACATAGGTACCACAGCATAGTACACAGTGGACCCTACGTATGTATGTACATAGGTACCACAGCATAGTACACAGTGGACCCTACGTATGTATGTACATAGGTACCATAGCATAGTACACAGTGGACCCTACGTATGTATGTACATAGGTACCATAGCATAGTACACAGTGGACCCTACGTATGTATGTACATAGGTACCACAGCATAGTACACAGTGGACCCTACGTATGTATGTACATAGGTACCACAGCATAGTACACAGTGGACCCTACGTATGTATGTACATAGGTACCATAGCATAGTACACAGTGGACCCTACGTATGTATGTACATAGGTAGGTACCATAGCATTAGTACACGTGGACCCAATGTATACATAGGTGCCTTAGCATAATAGTACACAGTATGAGGTGCCAGAGCACAATACAGCAGAACCCCTGAATAAAGGACACCTCCCTATTAAGGACATTTGTTTCTGCCCCCATTAAACGGGCACCTATGATAACAGGTGTCCCTTATTCAGAAGTTCCACTCTATACGAAGAAGGAGTGACCGTACCAAGAGCAGTGTTCACCACCTCGTGACACACGTGTACATATGAGGCCAGTTCCAGTGGCGACCTCGTGGTATCCACTCCAACCACGCCCCCATCCTCGGTCCGTTTAACCCCATTCTCCCCGTGAATCCCGGCTCCGTAGCACAACAGGAGCTCACAGGCATCTCTGTTACCGTGGACGATTGCCTGATGGAGAGGGGTAAGCCCCTGGTGGTCGGTGGCGTTAACGAGGGCCGAACCGTCCAGGAGTAACATCATGATGTGGAGATGTCCCCGAGAAGTGGCATGATGGAGTGGCGTCTCTCTCCATACGTTGGTTGGGTCGGGCAGGCTACCTCGTAGCAGCAACATCAGAGCCTGCGTGTGGTGGGGGGGGGGGGGGGGGGGGGGGGCGGGGGGAGGGGAAGAGAGAAGGGGGAGGAAGGAGGGGGGAAGTGAAAGGAGAGGGAAGAGTAAGTAAGACGGAAGAAGGGGTGAAGGAGAGGGGAGGGAGCGGGAGAAGAAGGAAGAGAGAGAAGAAGGGAGAAAAGGGGAAAAGGAAGAGCAAGGAAAAGAAAGGGAGGAGACGGAAGGGAAAGGGAGAGAAGGGAAGAATGGAGGGAGGGGGGAGGGGGGGAGGAGGAGGAGGAAGGATAGGGGGAGAACATGAAGGGTGGGAAGGGGAAAAAGAATGGAACATGGAAAAGGAAGAAAGGAAGGGGGGGAAGAGGAAAAAGAGGGAAGAAGGCGGAAGAGAGTGAGGAGAAAAGGGGAAAGGAAGGGTACCAAGAAAGAAGAAGGAGGGGGAGGCAGAAGGGAGGGGAGAGAAAGGAGAGAAGAAGGGGAGGAGCGGAGAGAAGAAAGGGAGAGAAGGAGAAGAGGGAGTGAAGAGGGGAGAGAGTACTGAGAGGCCAGAAGAAGGAGGGAGGGGAGAATATAGTAGAAAGGGAGGAAGGGAGAGGGAGGAAGGAAAAGGAAGAAAAGATAGACAAAAGATGCGGAATGAAAGGGAAAAGGAAGAAGGGAAAGGGAAAGAGGTGGAAGAGAAGAGAAGAGGAGAGGAAAGAAGGGAGGGAAAGGGGGGGGAATCAGAGGGTAAAGAAGGGGGGGGAAAGAAGGGGAAGGGGAGGGAAAAGGGAGGAAGGTAGGAGAGGGGGAAGAAGGAAGGTGACAGGTAAAGGAGGAAAGGAAGGAGGGATGAAGGGAGGAAGGAGGAAAAGATGAGAAGGAGAGGGGAAAGAAAAGGGGGAGAGGGGAAGCCTGAAAGGTGGGAGAAGGGACCCGACAAAGGGGGAAGGTAGGGGGGGAATAGAAGGGAAAGGATAGGGAGGGGAAGGGGAAAAAGAAGAAGAAGAAAGTGGAGGAGGTAGGGGAGAGCACCCAGAAAGAGGAGCCCAAGCAGAGTTCCTAGAAGAGGGGGAAAGAGAAAAGGAGAGGGAGGAGGAGAGGAGTGTGTTATTTCCCAGCCCCGACCAGCAAGGGGGGGGAAAGGGGAGGACTGGAGGGTCCAGGAAAGGGGAAGAAGGGAGAAAGGGGGGGGAGAGGAAACGGAAAGGGAGGGAGATTAAAAGGGGAGAAGAAGGAAGAAGGAGGGGAGTAGGAAGAAGGGAAGCAGGGAAGGTGGGGAGGGGAGGAGGGGGGGGGATAAAGAGAGTACAGAAGGACACGGGGAAAGAGAAGGGGGGGGAAGAAGCCGCCCGGGGGACCCTCGTGACCTGCTAGGAGAGGAGTCGGGGAGACCCCCCCAGAATGGGATGGGAGAAAAGAACCCCGGGCGGCAAGAGGAGGAGATAAGGGAGATGGGGGGACCGCCCCCCCCAGGCTACAGTTAGAAGGGGGAAGCCCCGGGAGGAACCTCCCAAGATGAAAAGGAAGGAGTAAGACGGTGGGGGGGGTGAGAAAGAGGGGAAAGGGGAAGAGCAAAGGAGGGGGCGGAGGAAGGAAGCGAAAGAGGAATAGGAGGGGAAGTGGAGAGAGGGGGAGAAGAAAAAAGGGGAAGAAAGGAAGGAAAGAGAAGAGAAGAAGCGAAGGAGGGGAAAGAGGGACAGGGAAAAAAGGGAGAGGGGGGGGAAAGAGATGAAGGGGAAAGAGAAGAAGGCGGGAAGAAGAGGAAGGAAGAGAGAGGAAGGAGAAGGAAATCAGAAAAAAGGAGAGAAAGGAAGGAGGGAAGTAAGAGAAAGGGATCGGGGAAGGAAGGAAGGAAGGAAGGGATGGGGGGAAATGGAAAGGGAATTAAAGGAGGGGGGAGGAAACGGGGAAGGGGAAAAAGAAGAAGAGAAGAGTGAAGGGGGGGAGGGAAAAGAAGGGAAGGAGGAAGGATAGGGTGGGAAGAAGAAGGGGGGAGAAAGAGAAGGGAAGAAAGGGGGGAAAGATAGGAGGAGGGAAGGAAAGGGGAAAGAAGGCAGAGAAGGAAAAGGGGAAGAAGGGGGAAAGGAAAAGGGAAGAGAAGAGAAGAGAGAAAGAGACGGGGGGGGAAAAAAGGGAAGGGGAAGGGCGGAGAGTGGAAGAGAAGACGGAGAAATAAAGAAGGAAGAGGAAGCAAAAGGGAAAAGAAGAGTGAAAAGCGAAAGGGGGGAAAGAGGAAGGGAGAGGAAGGGAGAGAAGGGAAGGAGGGAGAAACAGTGGGAGGGGAAAGGAAGAGTGAGTGAGGGGAAGGGAGGAAGAAGAAAGAAAAGGGGAAAAGGGGGGGGTAGAAGACGCGGGGTGGGGAGAAGGGAGGGGGAGGACGGGGGAAAAGGGAAAAATGGAGGGAAAAGGGAGAAAGAGTGAGAGGTGGGGGGGGGGAGGAGAAAGGGGCGGAAAGAAAAAAAAAAGGGGGGAAGCAGGGAAGAGGAAGGGGAGAAGGAGAGGGAAGGGAAAGGAGGAAAAGGGGTTAGGAGAAAAAGGAGAAGCGGGGATGAGAAGGAAGGAAGCGAAGGGGTAAAGAGGAAGAAGGATAAGGGAGGAAGGGAGGGGGGAAATAAAGAAAGGAAGAACAAGGAGAAGGAAAAAGGAGGATGGGAAAAGGGAAGGAAGAAAGGAGGAGAAAAAGGTGGGGAGAAAGGGAGGAGGGGGTCGGGGAGGAAAGGAAGAGTGGGGTGAGGGGGGAAGAGGGGGAGAGGAAGGGGAAAGGAAGAAGTAGGATAGGGAAAGACCAGTAGGAGATGAAAAGAGCGAGGAGGGAAGGGTGGAGAAAAGTTAGGGAAGGGGGGAATAAGGGGGACAAAAGGGAGGAAGACGGCAAAGAAGGAGAGAGTAAGGAGGGATGACAGAGTAGAAAAGAAGGAAGAGGTAAGCAGATCGGGGGGAGAGGAGAGGAGGGGGAGGAGGGGAGGAAGGCAGGAGGAAGAGGAAAGGGGGGCAGGGACAGAGGAAAGGAGAAAGGGAAAGGAAGAAGGAAGAGAAGGGGAAAAGGAGGAGGGGGGAAAGGAAGGGTGGGGGGGAAGGGAGGGAGAGATGAAGGTCAAGGGGGGGAGGGAGGGGGGAGAAGAGAAAGAGGAAGGGAAGGACAAGGGGGAAGGGGACTGGGGGAAGAGGGAAAAAGAAGGAGGGACGGGGGAGAGGGGGGAGGAAAAAAGGAAAAGGAGTGGGGGAAGAGGGGGAAGGGAAGAGGGGGGAAAGGGGAGAAGGAATTAAAGGGGGAATAAGGAAAGAACAGAAAGGAAGGTGAAGAGAGAAGCGGAAAAAGAGAAAGGTATAGAAAGGGGAAGGGTAAGAAAAGGGAAGTAGGGATAGGGGAAAGAGGGCTAGTGGAATGAAGAGTGGAAGAAGCAGAAAGAAAAGAGAAGGGAGGGGGGGAAGAATGGGCCGGGAGGGGGGAAAGCGGGGGAGGGGGGGGGGGAAGGGGGGTGGGGGAAGGGAGGAAGAGGGGCAAAGTAGAGGAGAAGGATGGGGAAAGGTGGTGGGGGTAAAAGGAGGGGGGGAAGGGGAAGGAAAAGGATAAGGGGTGAGAAGGGGGAGAAAGGGAAAAGGGGAAGGAAGAGGGGAAGTAGGAAATAATATAGAGGGAAGAGGGGAGATAGAGGGAAGGAGGGGAGGGGGTAGAAGAGAGGAGAACGTCCAGAAGAAGAGTGGGAAAAAAGGAGGCAGGAGAAGGGAAGGAGCAAACGGGGGGGAAGAAAGGTGGAGAAGAGAAGGATGGAGTGAGAAAGGAGGAAGAAAGGGGTGAAAATGGAGGAAGGAGAAGGGGGGGAGAGGAGAAGAAGAGGAGAAAAGAGAAAGGAAGGGAGGGGGAGAAGAAGTGGAAAGGAGAGGAGGACGTAGAGAGGGGAAAGGGGAGCGAAGATAGAGGAGCAAAAAAGAAGCAGGGAAGAGAAAGGGTGGCGAAGGGGTAAAAGAAGATGGAAGGAAAGTGGGAAAGGGGAAGAGGAAGGGAGAGGAGGGGAGAGTAGGAGGGAAGAATAGGGGGAGTAGAAAGGAAAAATGGGAAAGAAGGAGGAAAGAAAGGGAAGGAAAGAGAAAGTAAAGGAGGGGAGGGGAAGGGGGGGGAAGGAAGGTGGGGGAAAGAAAGATACGGGAAAGTGGAGAGGAAGTTTATATTGGGAAATGGGGGGGGGGGGAGAATGGTGGAAGTGAGGGAGAAGCGAAAAGGAAAGGAGGAGAAGGAGAGGAATGCAAGAAGAAAAAGAGTGGGGAAAAGGGGGGAGGAGAAGGTGTGGAAGGAGAGAAAGGGAGTAAGGGAAGAGAGAAGAAGGGAGAAAGAAGAGAAAGAAAGGGAGGAGGAGGGGGAGGAAAGAAAGGAGATAGGATGGAGGAAGGAAAGGGGGGGAGATAGGGGGAAGAAATGGGGCAAGAGAGGGGGGGGGCAGGGAGTGAAATAAGGAGAAAAGAAGGGGGGGAAAGGGGGAGAAAGAACGGGGGGAAGGGGGAAAGGTGAAGAGGAGGGATGGAGAGGAAAGGGAAAGGAGAGGAATAGGGAGAGGGAAGAGGAAGAGAAGGGGGATGGGGTAATGGGGAGTAGGGAAAGAGAAGGGGGGAAGGAGGAGAAGAGGGAGGGAGGAAGCAAGAGAGAGGAAAAACGGAAAGGGGGAGGGGGGGGTAAAGGGGTAAGGGGAGAGGGGAATGGGAGGAAAAGAAAAGGTGAAGGGGGGAAAGGAAGGGAGACGGAGAAGAGAAAAAGAGGGGGGAGAAGAGGGAGAAGAAGGAAAGGGAATGAAAAAAGAGTGGAAGAAAGAGGTGGAAAAATATGTGATATGAAGGAGTTTAGAAGTTTAATAATATTATAGGTATTAAATTTTATGGAATTTAATAAGTATAATTTTATTAATAAATTATAATTTAATTGCAGAAAGAGAGGGAGAATAGAGACAGGGTTAAAGTTAACAACAGAGCCGGTTGGTGTCACCGCACTGTGTGTGTGTGAAATTACGTTGTGTGTGATTAGGACATGGAGTCAAAGGTGAGGGGAAACCACCATAACATACCCTCTCTACCTAATCCCCAGATACATGTTTTGTATTAAGATTCCACTGGTATATACTTGATTTGTGACACAAACAAAGTTCTGGAACAACGTAATAAGCCTCCAGGCCATGTATTACATCGGGTCCAATACAAAGTATGAGCTTAAACCTGACAAACACGTACACTATAAAGTGCCAAGAGGATTAAATCAAGTTAGCTATAACAGATATGGCTGATCAGCACCACGGGCCCACTGCAACATCATCTGAAGTGACACTGTTTACTGGCAAACTGGTTTTACACGTGTCACTGATGGCAACTAGTGGGCAGAGATTCCTGCCATCAGTAGACACCACACGCCCCACAGTCGGTGATTACCTCATCCTGAAACTGTTTTAGAGCAGACACTATATGTCCCGCGTGTGCAAGGGGTTAAACTGTTTGATCGGTCTGTATGTCTGTCGTCCTCGTCCGCACTAAAATCACAAAATCTCGAGATATAGGTCCCTGAGTAGGTTTGAAAGGCGGCTAAACTATCATAAACGGCAAAACACTGGCGTGTCTGTGCTTGGAATCAACACCACTGGCTAGAAATCCACCTACAGGAACCAGAGGAACCAGATAATTATGGTGGTTATATACATTTCCACTAGGAATAGGAATGGAAATATGGAATAGGTCTTTGTGGTGGCTTACATGAGGAACCTACCACATTATTTGTGCATTCAAATATAAGGGTGACCCTAGCAATTTCAGCAGCATGTTGTTCTTCCTGAGCCTGTGTTTCACTGGTGTGTTCCTGACCATCCCTGATGACAAACTGCCTACAATGTCACAATTATGACAGGCTCCTGCTATATACTCTGTAATTGCCTGCTGTAAATTAGGGAGATACAGTACATTACAGTGGTGTTGTGGTACTGTCTGCAGCAGGGGGTTGGTGGAACGGCAAAGAGACTCGGGGGGACAGAACCAATGGCTCTACTATGTGGATGGTGCCTCTGCAGTGGTACTGTCTGCAGCAGGGGGTTGGTGGAACGGCAAAGAGACTCGGGGGGACAGAACCAATGGCTCTACTATGTGAATTGTGCCTCTGCAGTGGAGCGTATGTATATGCTTACACAGCGGGGTGGTTGGGCTGTCTAGTTTCAGCCGGAACAGGGACAAAACACAATATCAGGGACGAGACTAAACTAGTGAGTCATGATGTTGTCTCAGCCATCCACGGTAGGGGGGAAGATAAAGCAGCCTCAGCTGAATGGAGGCTTTGGTGCAATAGGCTCTAGAGATTGACATGAGACACAGTATAAAGTGTGAGGTTTGGACACAGTAATGCCAGTGTGGGTTCCTAGCTATCAGGAGTGACGTGTGCCATTGTAAGGGGGGGGGTGTAGAGAAAACCTGTGTGTGTGTTTGTGTATGCATGTCTGTGGGAGTGACCAAGTCACCAGCTGGCCTCGGGATGTGTACATACATACATTCATGAACGCCAGCAAGACTGACTCAAAGACTTCAGGCCAAACATGGTCAAATGCGTCACACGTGAGAAATTTGGAGAAAATTAATCAGTGACGTTTTATCTGGACTCCAATGTTGATTCTACACCATACATGTAACTTCTGATAATAAATCGAATGCCATTCACATAAGCCATGTAACCTTTCATCCGGTGTAATATGGAGCAAATAAATCAATTACGACAGCTTTGATCCGACCCTAATATGGTTGAATTCCCATACATAACACCCCCACCCCCACACAATTATGTAGAGGAAGAGGGCTGAGGCCTGGGGCCAAGACTAGGAACACCATTTTATAAGATATGAACAGGTAACTTTCTTCCTCAGCTGTTATATACATGTGTGAAAAATGAGAAAGAGAGAAAGGCAAATGAACAACAAACAAGTCAACTACACCCAGGACAGCCCCTTTTTTAAAAGAAGAGTTGCCCTGGGTGGGATTTGAACCCACGACACTCTGCAGTCCAGGAAAGCAACTGGGGTACCAGGGCAACTCCTGTTTGATATCGGTCATAATTTGGTCAATTTCCATGTAGAAATCTTACATACTGTGCATACTATGGTGGGTCAAAGGTTAATTTAGTAGAAGACCGTGTCCTTCATTCAACTCGGCCATTTTGGACCGTGAGCTTATGTAACATAATGTAATCAACACTTGCACTTCAGAGTATATAGCATAAGGCTGGCTCTCTTCTGGTGAATTCTGCATTGGGCCATTATTTATGGGAATTCAACCACATTAGGGTCGGATCAAGCTAGTCTTGGCCCCAGCCCTTCCTGTACATAACTGTGTGGGGGTGAGGGAGAGGAAAGGATTTGGGGAAAAGCACTTCTCCCCCAATTAGAGGAAAGGGGCTGGGCTTGAGGAGACTACAGGTGTTTCCATGATGACGTCATGGTGTAGGTGGTGTATACCTGGTCGTAGCTGCCGGTAAGACAGGCAGTGTGTAGAGGTGTGTCTCTGTCTGCCTCCGCCGAGCGTCTCATTGACTTGGGGAGGTAGAGAGGGGGCACAGGGGGCAGGGGGTGAGGGGCCAAGGGGGCCAGAGGATTGGGGGGAGGTTGCTGCTGTCGGTTCTGAGGCAGTAGCTGCCTTTGAGGATCTCCTTCATCTTCAGCCTCTGCCATAGGTGAGCGTGGTCACCCGGGTTGCCCCTGAAGCCGATCAGCTGACCCGAGAGTCTGCGCGCGCACCGTTTGGCGGGAAATTGGCGGTCGACCTCTGTACTTTGAACCCTCGTGCTCAGAGCGCTAACGTACTGCAGTCGTGTCGTGGCGTGCTCTGTATCTCCACGGCACTGTCAGCAGACGCAGACGAAAGCTGAAGAGCCGGACACAGTCATTTCCATGGCCAAACGAAAGGCAGAGACGTCGGGTCCAGCGGAGGAGAGCGACCTGCTCACCATTCGTCCACTGTGAGTTTCTCCACGTCTCCCTCCTCGTGGCGTAAACCTCTTCCACTGCACAGTGGAGCAGGGCAGGAGGTGGGGAGGTCTTGCATCATGCTCGAGTTCAAGGGGAAGAAGATTATGGTATGGAAAAACGTTTGTACTTCAGATGGTAACTTATGGCCCTCCCTCCTTGTTCTCCTCCTTCCCCGCCCATCTCCCTCTTCCTCACACTCTATCCTCCTCTCTCCTCCTCTCCCTCCTTCTCTCTCCTCCTCTTCCTCACACTCTATCCTCCTCTCCCTCCTCCTCCTCCTCCTCCTTCTCTCCCTCCTCTCCCTCCTCCTCTCCCTCCTCCTCTCTCCTCCTCCTCTTCCTCCTCCTCTCCCTCCTCTCTCCTCCTCCTCTTCCTCTTTCTCCTGTAGTTAGACTGCGGCATCCACCCAGGCCTATCAGGAATGGACGCTCTCCCCTACACTGACATGATTGATGCCGAAGACATAGATCTCCTGCTCATCACACAGTGAGCTAGGGGTTAATGTTTAGAGGGTTAATTCACATTTCTTGTGTGTGTGGTTGTGTAGTTTTCATCTGGATCACTGTGGAGCCTTACCGTGGTTCCTGGAGAAGGTATATGTACAGTACTAGGAATGTGCACGCGCATATTTTGCCTCGCGCCTGCCAGCCAATGCGTAAACACTCCGACTGAGGCCGTTGGTGCGCGCGCTCTATATACTGACTGCGCGCGAAGCCAGACTTCCTACAAATCTGCGCACGGCGGAAGCTAGACTTCCTACGAATGACGGAAGTTACACTTCCTTTTGGTGACTAATTGACATTCCTAAGCGTGACTAATTGACGACACGTACATACATATCGCGAGAATACAACCCGGAGTAGTTGCCTCGCGCTAATGTGCTCGGCAATTATACAGTACAGTGTATACAAGTCAAGATACGTCAACACCTCTACCCTACCAACTACCCTTAAACTAAATTTTATTCTAACGTTTATCCTAACTGTACCTTACCCTTCTTTTACTCTACCCTAGCCAAAAAATTCTTGTTTGTTTTTTTGACATGTGACATAAACTTGTTGACATCGTGAGTCAGAAGTCTTATGTAACTTCAATGAATGGGTATATATGATGGTCCATACAATGTGACACACCCTTTATGTATAGTTAGGCAGTGAGTCCGTGAAATCTATGCACATTAGAAGCCCGAGGGCCCTCGCGTTGTCGCATTTAGTGAGAGAGAAGCATAATATTGTGTTGTGTTACCTGCAGACTACGTTCAAGGGACGTGTGTTCATGACACATGCAACCAAAGCCATATACCGCTGGCTACTTTCAGACTACATCAAAGTGAGGTAAGTTCACCATCTCCATTATTCCATCTTACACTTCCATCTCTATCCCCTCTTTTTCTTTATCTACATTCTGTACTCCTTCCTGTCTCCTTCGACCCTCATTCCTTCTCTCTCAGTAACATATGTATAGCAGCCTTCTTACCCCACCTCTTCATCTCTACCTGTATTCATGTATACACTAGCACATCTTATGCTGGTTCTTTCTCTCTCAGTAACATATCAAGCAGCCCATTTACCCTCCATTCTCTCTCCTCTTTTCTCTCCACTTTTTATCGGTATTGTGTGCACTATACATGGTATGTATAATTATACAATGGAACCTCTGATAAGGGACCCTCCGAGGTAGGGATGACCTCTCTACAAAGGACACTTGTTGTTTCAACCCCATGCTAATACTTTAGTGTATTATTTGACCTCTGAGATAGGGACGACCTCTCTACAAAGGACACTTGTTGTTTCAACCCCATGCTAATACCTTAGTGTATTATTTGACCTCCGAGGTAGGGATGACCTCTCTACAAAGGACACTTGTTGTTTCAACCCCATGCTAATACCTTAGTGTATTATTTGACCTCTGAGATAGGGACGACCTCTCTACAAAATCGTTGGCCCCATAGTGTCCCTTGTTCGGAGGTTCCACTATATCTCCTTAATTTACCCCTGGTTCCTCCACTGACAGTAACATATCGACAGACCATATGCTGTACAGTGAGAAGGACTTGGAGAAGTCCATGGACAAGATTGAGACTGTCAACTTCCACCAGGTCTGAAACTCACTTGGAGGGATTTTCAGGGACAATCTTTCAGGGTGGTCAACAGGCTTTCGTGTAGAAATTGATCCAAATAGGGGGAAATATGAGGGGCAAAACCCTGTGTTTGTGTAGATTACACAATGGGGTTATGATTATGCACTGAGCCCCCCACTGAGATTCACAGCTCCGTTCATACAGCAACCCCATCCTCTGGTTCCAACCACCCAGGAGGTGGACGTGAACGGGGGGGGGTTATGATTATGCACTGAGCCCCCCACTGCGATTCACAGCTCCGTTCATACAGCAACCCCATCCTCTGGTTCCAACCACCCAGGAGGTGGACGTGAACGGAGTAAAGTTCTGGTGTTACCACGCGGGCCACGTCCTGGGGGCCGCCATGGTGATGATGGAGATAGCCGGAGTCAAGATTCTCTATACGGGTGACTTCTCCCGGGTGGAGGACAGACATCTCATGGCCGCCGAGATCCCCTCCGTCTCCCCCGACCTCCTCATCACCGTGAGCGATGTCATCGTGATGTAATGATGGTGATGTCGTTATGATGTAATGTTGATGTAGGAGTCGACGTACGGGACACATGTACACGAGAAGAGAGACATCCGAGAGGCTAGGTTCACAGGTTGGTCATGTGACCCTCACATGACAGTCGTGTGATGCTCACATGATGCTGCTGTTGCTCTGTAGGTACAATTCACGACATAGTGGCCCGAGGAGGTCGCTGTCTCATTCCCGTGTTTGCACTCGGGCGTGCGCAGGAACTGCTCCTCATCCTGGACGAGTACTGGGCCTCTCATCCCGAGCTGCACGACATCCCCATTTACTATGCCTCCTCTCTGGCCAAGAAATGCATGGCTGGTGAGTGGTGGAGGGGAGGGGAGGAACGGGCCTTCGTTTAGAAATTGATGGGGGGGGGGGGCTTAAAATCCTCTTAATGAAAAGGATTATGGGGAAACCCTGTGTGTATTAGAAGGTTCACTTAAAATCTAAGTGGAGGGGGAAGGGGGGCGAGAGGTTGCCCCCTGCCCCCCTTAATTAACCCCTGAGGAAAGAGGGGGATGCTAGTCTTAAAGTCAATTCGTGTTCACTTGAGCCCTGGAGGTCATCGTACAGCATACTTTACTTACTACAGCCAACTTTTGACTAGTTTAACGTGAATGGTGTTAGTGTTTTTACAAAAAAGTTGTGACAAGGGCTGAGGTAGAGTCAAATGGACTTTAGTGTGTGTGTGTTTGTTTGTGTGCAGTGTATCAGACCTACATCGGAGCCATGAACGAGAACATTAGGAGGCAGATTGCTGTATCCAATCCATTTGTGTTCAAACACATATCCAACCTCAAGGTGAGGAGGGATGTCTCACCCCACTCCTCTTCCCTCTCCTCTCTCCTCTTCCCTCTCCTCTGACACTCTTCCCTCTCCCCACTCCTCTTCCCTCTCCTCTGACACTCTTCCCTCTCCTCTCTCCTCTTCCCTCTCCTCTGACACTCTTCCCTCTCCTCTCTCCTCTTCCCTCTCCTCTCCCCTCTTTCCTCTCCCCACTCCTCTTCCCTCCCTTACCCTATAGTTAATGTTGAGCCATTTTAGGATCCAAGAGCTTATATTACTTGTTTTTTCTCATGTGTATGTATGTGTGTGTGCTGCACTGGAATAAGCATATGCATAGTTTTCTAGTCAGCACCAGTGTTCAACTTTTGCATTAAACCTGCATTCTGAAAACCTCCATTCACTTTGTACTTTAATTCACGAATGTTTTAGTGTTCACTTCTTCAGTTCCCCCTCCTCCCCTCCTCCTCCTTCTCCTCCCTCCTCCTCCCCTCCTCCTCCTCCTCCTCCTCCCCCTCCTCCTCCTCCCCCTTCCTCCCCCTTCCTCCCCCTCCTCCTCCTCTCCTCCCTGCACAGAGTATAGACCAGTTTGACGACGTGGGACCATGTGTCATCATGGCCAGCCCGGGAATGATGCAGAGCGGACTGTCCCGGCAACTGTTTGAAACCTGGTGCACAGACAAGAGGAATGGGGTCATTGTAGCTGGCTACTGTGTGGAGGGTACCCTGGCCAAGGTCATTTACATTTATTTTATGTAGCTGACATGGGGTCATTGTAGCTGAGATGTGGTCATTGTAGCATTTACAGTATTTCATAAAGCAAAAACTCTTGGTGCAGCTGTGGGCATTGTACATATATGCCCTATTAATAGACAGCTGAAGAGACACGGTTACTATGTAGTGCTTCCATGGGATGCTCTGTATTCAAATTTAGTACTTTTAACATAATCTCATCTGTTGCAGTTTGTTCTGTCTGAGCCGTCTGAGATAGTCACTCTCTCCGGCCAGAAACTGCCTCTCAGGATGTCAGTTGGTACGTATACGGCTGAGCTCTCTATTTATAGGTTCTGGCCCGAGCTCTCTATTTATAGGTTACGGAAATAATTTCTTCCCTTCTCTCAATTAGACTACATTTCGTTTTCGGCCCACACTGACTATGAACAGACGAGTGAATTCATTCGCATCTTGAAACCACCTCATGTGGTCAGTACAACTTTTTCACACAAATTCATACCATTTGCATTTTTGAACGAGGTCAATTCTTTGGTCACATGATGTTCACATGACCCCGTGCAGGTGTTGGTACATGGAGAACAGAATGAAATGGCGAGATTGAGGGCTGCGCTGGTGAGGGAATATGAAGACAACGAGGTAATGATTATGTCATACTAGTCATGTGACCACACATGATAGTCATGTGATCTGGATAGGAGATCAACATGGAGATCCACAGTCCGAGAAACACTCAGGCAGTGGAGCTCTACTACAGAGGAGAGAAGATGGCTAAGGTACGTGGTGTATTCTACCAATCCTTCATGAGTAGTTTGCAAACTTTGCGGTTTATTAACCGTCTGTGATTTCTTTACTTTCTGTGTTGGCGAGGATAGTTGTATAGTGGGAGAGCACATCTCAGTGAAATTCACTACTTAAACGTGTCGTATAAATAACTCCCGTGGATCAGTAATCTACTTAGTAATCTCTCCCCTGATTCAGTCTGCACCTCAGTAATCTACTCAGTCATCTCTCCCCTGGATCAGTCTGTGCACCTCAGTAATCTACTCAGTAACTTTCCCCCTTGATCGGTCATTGCACCTCAGTAATCTACTCAGTAATCTCTCCCTGGATCGTTGCACCTCAGTAATGTACTCGGTAATCCCCCTTGATCAGTAATCTACTCAGTAATCTCTCTCCCTGTCTCAGGTGATGGGTTCTCTGGCGACCAAGCCACCTCACGAGGGGCAGACCCTGTCTGGAGTGCTAATCAAGAGAGGCTTCAACTACCACCTCATTGACCCTGCTGACCTCTCCAGTCAGATTGTACCCTAATGCAATATTTGTTGTTTTCCCCCTAAAAATGCATGCTATACTTATAAGTACAATTAGCAGTCATTGAATTCATTCCTCTGCTGTAGTTGTTTTAAGATCCTTACTTGTTTGAGAATATTGCACAGATACCTGGTGGCTATCTTTTCTTCTGCTTATACCAAACAATCGTTCTGTGCAGTCTTTTCCTGACGTTTATGGACACACACACACACTTAACAAGTAAAAATTATACTTACGTGTATTTATGCAGGTTATACTGAGCTCACAACCAGCAGCATACAGCAGGTGAGAGCATTTTAGTTGTTATGTATACTCTAAACCCAGAAAACATGTACCAGTGAAGGTTTTAGGATTGAGTGGCTGTGTAAATTTGAAATCTGTAAAATAACGTTTCTCTGCAGCGTCAGATGCTCAAGTTCCATTCTCCGTTCTCCCTCCTCCACCACTGTCTCAACCAACTCACCTCTGACGCTGAGATAAAGATGCTGCATGGAAAGAGAGCCGTCTGTGTGAGTGGTCACATGACAGTCATGTGAGGATCATGTGATCTCCCGCTGCAGGTGTTTGGAGGTAGTGTATCGGTGATCTATGACGATTCAGCAGAAACGGTGTCCATTGAGGTAAGTGTCATGTGACTAGACTGTGAGTCTCACATGATGTCACATGACTGTCACACACAGTGGGATGCAGACAGTGTGACTGACATGTATGCTGATGCTGTTCTGTCAGTCATCTTGCAGATTGTGTCAGACCCCTAACTCCCTCCAAAGTGTGTTTTATGATCACTGTGTGGAGGGCGTTCTGTAAGGAAGCCATAAACCTCTGAATAAGGGACACCTTGGGGACATCAAAAGTATCCTTTATTCAGAGGTGTTCATTGTTCAGAGGTAATATCTCAGGGGCAAGGCAATTGTTCTACTATACTGAGTGTATAATGGTTGATAAGAAAATTTTGCTGAGGAAGCAAAAAGACTACATGAATTTTATTACAGTCAAAGTCAAGGAGGAGGGTAAATCAAAAGAAAGGTTTCCAGACAGGTCTGTTTGCTAACTCTCTCACTTTTCAGCAATGCTTACTCCCCTCTGCTATGGCTGCAATTTCTTCCTCCCCCCTGCTCCCTCTTACCTCCTCCCTCCCTCTACCCTCCCTCTCCTATATACCCTCCCTCTCCCCTATATACCCTCCCTCCCTCCACTCACGCCACTGGCCCAGACTCCTGAAGCTGATGAGGGAGATGTTTGGACCTCAGAATGTCAACTGGTGGAAGGAAGACCAGGAGAAGATATCAGTCAAGGCTGACCAGCACACTGCCATCCTCGACCCTCGCTCTCTGGTGGGTGTGGCTACTGGAACATTCTAGATGTCTATCTTCATTTCTCCCCCTTCTTCTTTCCTCCACTCTTTCCTTCATTTCTACCCTTTGACTCCCTTCCGCCCCTTTCACTCTCTTTCACTCTCATTCTCTCCTCCCTCTCTCCTTCCTCCCCTTTCACTCTCTTTCATTTCTCTCCTTCCTCTCTCCCTCGTTCTCTCCTCCCTCTCTCCTTCCTCTTCCCTTCACTTCTCTACTTCCTCTCTCTTATTTCTCTTTCCTTTTTCCATCATAATCTCAACCTCAGGCAGTGGAATGTCCTGATGATTCACTCAACCATCTGGTGACTGTGGCAGCAAAGAGACTACATACTGCGCTCTCAAAATGAAAAGCACTTGAAAGTGCATAACCCTCGCCACTTTATTCTTTATTTCAGCAGCCAATGGCTACACTACGTCAGTTTTTGCCACATGCACGTTCAATACTAGTTACTACTACAGCAAAGTGAAAAGCACTACCATCACCACTATTCAGCTACATACTAGCTACACTACCTCAGTGACTCCTTCACTGAACCGATTCACTGGGGCGTGTGCTGCTCTCACTTCACCGGCAATCTCGATCCTATTCAACTGTCCCATCAATACAGCCAGACCAGCAAATCTTCTCCACACGCGCAAAGCATCTAAGTATACAACGATGGTTCGCGATCTCTATTTGACGCACACTCACCTCAACAGCTGCTCGTTTCACCAGCTTCCCCGGCCTTCTCCGCTCCAGAATATTATTTTACCATGCATGCCTCCTACTTGATAATATGTCCACGTTTCACGCTCAGAGTTGCCGCGGTTACCGAGAAAAACGGTGGACAGACGGACGGACACACGCGCACACACACGTACACACGACCGACCGACTGCAATAACCCTCGATGCGCATGCGCGCAGGCGAGGGTTAATTACATTCATGCATAATCTGTACTAATTAAAATATTTTCGTCACCAAGTAGTGTATATCCATTACAGAGCCAGACTAGCCGTGAATGCAATACTACACTTGAGATCCGCCCCATTTTTCTTGAGCTAATGGCGAACAAAGGTAAACTGTATAGGTTGCTTAGCTGCATGATAACTCACTGTTGCCAACTATCGATCATAGCTTTAGACGATACGCTCACTCCTGACGATGCCGTCGAAGTGCTGGAAGAGCTACTGCCAGCGCAGAACGAGTCCTACGCCCTCGGACTCAAGTTCAAACTACCCCAGAGCGATGTGCAGGGAATCCACGATACTTACTCTAAACCACGCAACCGCCTCCTCCAAATTCTGATCGAGTTCTTTAAGCAAACGGAGCCCAAGCCGTCATGGAGGGTCATTGTCGAAGCTCTTAGGAGTCCTGCAGTAAATCAATCTGCACTTGCTGCCAAGGTGGAATCAGCTCGTCCCCATCACCTTGAGGCAGCAGTAGAAACGGGTATGTTATCATTCAGATCTCAGTCATATGGTGTAATTTTCTCTGTCAATTGTAGATCCAAGTATGAATGAAGTGAGATCTCGGGTGCTTGCATTTCGTCAAAGATTCAATGTAATAAAACAAGCAACTATAAAACGTCTTATAGCGTGCCAGGTCACTGTAGCCTCAATGGTTTTCTGGCTGACGTCAATCAGAGTATTAGGTGAGCACAGAGTATTTCTTGAGGAAAACCTTGAAGCCCTGGGACAGTGCCCAAACCACTGGGTATTGTTTGGAAGGTTGAATTTATATTGGAACTACCTGGCCTACGACCTACTATTCCAACTCATCGAGGTCCTCGCTACTGAGTATGATAGATTCAGGACTATTAGTGAAGACATGGCTGAATACAAGGAGGATTTGGAAGGGTTTAAACGGAATACACCCTTGAAACTCTTTTGTAAGGCTGAGCCCATGCCATTCTCGCAGCAAGACACTCCACCACCAGGTTTCCAGGAGATGGTGGGTGAATTCAATTGGTCGAAAAATGTCACACTTGAGGAAGTTGAGCAGTTCCAGAAACGCTATGCCAGAAAATACAATGCCAGAAAATACAATCTTGAGGATTGTGCTATGATAGTGAACAGCATTAGGCCAGGATCATTCGTTGTAACTTGGTTTGTACCAGTTTCCATCATTAGACTACTAAGTCAGGAGACAGACAGAGCAGTAAATCTGTTTGAGGAGTTCGAAGTAACAAGGCTAGAGATAGCTGGGAATTGTGTCTACCACTCATCGTTTCAAAAGGTGAGTGAGCAATCCCCGAAATTCTCTAATCAAAAACTATCATAACATTTCCCCATAGGTGGCTCCTTCTCTCCCCTTCTTTACCATGTTGTGGAATTTGTTGTTTAATCGACGAATGCACCTTTCAGTTCGTATTTTTTACCACAATGACAATACAGCAACATTTGTGGTGACGAAAAATCTTCCAACACACATAGCAGCCGTGAAACAGACAATCGCACACACTAGAGTGGAGGATATACCAATCTCATGCGAGTCTACAACTAACTCAATTGTTCTTTCTCTACCAAAAATGTCCAAGGGATGGTATGTTACATCGCACTTTGAACCAGCAGAAATAGAAACTCTTGACATTAATACATATGCGCCTGGAAAATCTTGCCCAAAAATTATTTTGTGCATGGAGTGGAAAGGCAGCGATATTCCAAAAGAAGAAAGAGTAAGTATTCCCATAACTGGAGGGTCATTGAGCTCCTTTTATTTGCTATGCAAGCCCAAACAGCATGAGAATGAACCTAGGGCCTGGCAGCGACTTGAACAAAAGGTGAAAATTCTTTAATTTCTAGAATAAAATGATGTAGTGTTCGTAATTTTCAGAAAGCGGATTTAATACGCACAGAAAGAGAAGTTGCACTGGCTCGAGAGAACCTGGACAAAGTTCAAGTAAGCTACATGAGCGCGAAAGACAAAATAATTATACAAACTCCAATTTTTACTGCAGGAACAACAGCTACAAACTCCCTGTTCCCAGGTAACATAAAACTCTCTACAATTAATTTGCATCACCTGGCTTATCTATTATACCCTACAGTCAGACACAATTGTTGCTATAGTGGGCAGGCCATATGGGGTGGATTTTTTCAAACAATCAGAGAAGATGATTGTCAGTGGATGGGATAAAAGCACAGTCTTCTGCTTTGACGACAAATTTAACCAAACCCCTTTAATTAAGGATTTATTACAACCTGCAGATATAGCGACTGATAGAGATGACAATATTTATGTGACAAGTAAGCACAAACTGCAGAAGTTCACTAGCAGTGGTGTACTAAAGGCCAAGGCTGGTGACGATGAGGATCATAATGAGAAAGGGAAGTTTAATGATCCACGTGGAATTACAATGTATGAAAACCAAGTGTATGTGTGCGATCGAAATAACCATCGCATTCAGGTATTTGACCTTGACTTGCACTTTGTAAAGTCCATCGGTTCCTATGGGGACAGTAACGGAGAATTAGATGCCCCATATGATGTAAAATTTGACAATGATGGAAACATGTATATAGTTGAGTTGGGTAACAGAAGAGTACAAGTTATGAACACCGATGGCCAATTCATCAGAATGTTTGGTCAAAAAAGGGTAGGAAATATCGGGCTCCCAACAGGCCTTCATGTTGACAAAGACAAAAACATAGTGTATATTTCTGATTTTGCCAATGATCGCATGTAGTTTACACAACATCAGGTGATTTTGTTACCACTCTTGGGTCACACGGTCTAAGAGTTGGTAAGTTGCATTCACCATATTGTATGACATCTCGTAAAGGCAAACTGTATGTATGTGACTCTGGAAACGATAGAGTTCAAACATTTGATCTTATTAGCTCTCCCCAATAGTTTGTATCTTCATGTGTCCATTTGTTTCTTGTATTATTTCTGCTGTTATGCAATATCCAATAGCTGTTATAATTCACAAGGTGTCAAGCGTAGACCACTGCTGTCACAAGGCTGCCAGCTTAGGACACACATAAGCGGTTCTTCTTTCACTGTGATTTTAAAAATCAGGCGACAACAGTGCTTGCACGATTCATGGATTGGATGCAGTGAATTCTGTTATAGCCTGGTTCCAGGTATTCCCTTTGATCTTTTGATGTAGCAGCAAGATCCACCCCAGACAAGCCTGGACCACAGTGCATGTATTTGATATGTGCACTCCACCACAGACCATTGCACAGCTGCTGTTGAAGAAAAGCACTGAAGTGCAAACTTCGGCAAACTGCGCATGCGCAATACTGCTAATTGATGGGCTGGGCTATTGTATGCGTTATTTTCTTTAGATAACATAAGCGTTCTTCATGATTTTAAAAATCAGGCGACAGCAGCATTTGCACGATTCATGGATTGGATGCAGTTACACCTAAAGAGCAGATGGTGCGACTAGATGTTTTAATACATTCACACTGTGTTGCACAGTATAAATTCACTTTAAAAGGGTGGAGAATGTGATTAGTTGCACTGCAGACCAGGAAGGAGTGAGAACAGAGTGAAATCATGATTTGCATGCACTGCATGTGACTCACAGATCACGGGACAAACGTTCGCATATGCACACTTGGTCAAATGCGGATTGTTGTGATTGTTAGACACACACTAGGTACTCTCTGTAGGGGTTTCTAGCCACATTTTTAGGCCTCTGCTAGGTTTGTGTCTACTTTGAACATGTCCTTTTGTCAAAGCTTGGGCTGTATAACACAGTGGTAGCTTTATCCATACTTTTGCTGATACTGTCCTATCAATTTGTCTGCTCGGTTTTACTTTGCTAAAAATCCAATTGGGCAACAACCTCTCGAGTGGCTTTCTTTAACCTCATAATGTCTGCAATTACTCCTATAATGACACATAAGCGGTTCTTCATGATTTTAAAATCAGGCGACAGCAGCGTTTGCACGATTCATGGATTGGATGCAGTTAATTCTGAACACCTAAAGAGCAGATGTGTACTAGATGTTTTAATACATTCACACTGTGTTGCACAGTATAAATTCACTTAAAAAGGTGTGAGAATGTGATTAGTTGCACTGCAGACCAGGAAGGAGAGAGACAGAGTGAAATCATGATTTGCATGGCACTGCATGTGACTCCATGGGACAAACGTTTGCATATGCGCACTTGTCAGTGTGTTCAACCGACTTTTGACAATAGCTGTTTTGTACGGGGAATTTGCTGTAGACCACTGCAAACGCCAATAGACCCCTGAAAGGAGGTGTCTATGAAAGATAAACCACCCGCACGTGACAGCGTTGTAATTACTCAGGCGGGGAAACAATGAGTCTCGTTAAGTATGTACATACATCGTACCGGGTTAAAGGTCACGCAGCACACCGCTAATAAGCACTGCGCATGTGCGAATACACGGGAACCAGCTGAGTCTGCCGAGTCCTCTGTGTCGGCTTGGTACTCTCTGTAGCGGATTCTAGCCACATTTTTAGGCCTCTGGTAGCTTTGTGTCTACTTTGAACGTGTCCTTTTTGTCAGTCTCCATGAAAAGCTTGGGCTGTATAACACAGTGGTAGCTTTATGCATAATTTTGCTGTGTCTTCCACTGTATTGTAAACACCGAATATCCCCAGTTAATCAACATACCTCTGTTGCTAGGGTTCCTACGAAGCCATTCAGAACCTCCTTGTCAATGGAGAAACTATAGCAACAGAGGTATGTTGATTAACTGGGGATTTTCGGTGTTTACAACACAGTGGAACATAAGACAAACTGAGACCATAAAAAATTGTCATTATACAAAGTTGCATATGTACATGCATAGTACGTATTCATATGGTGGAATGTGATGAGTGCATGAGACTAATTATTAAATTGGAGCTGTTGTCGTTGTTGTGAGTGTAG